GAGATTTAGGTGTATACAAGCCACAAACATAACAAAATGAATCAGTCGATGTATTACAACCACGTTTTCGTACTTTAGACATTTTAATCAAAAAATCTCACTTTCCACGGCTATCGCAATAAATATACAACTACTTTCAAGTTTTAAATTGATAAACAAGAAAGAATACAGATAAGACATACSAGAAATGTCATAAATATTCTCGAAATTTTGAAATTCTTAAAAATGTTACGTCTTATGAATTGATTATTAGTACACCTAATTTAATATAAAAACACCAATAGCCAATCAGTTGCATATTGATTGTAGACAAAAGTAATTTACTATTTACTAGACAGCCCTCTAACTATAACCACAACTACATATGTCTGATGTTAATTCAGCAGCCTTTACATAATAGATCGTTATCAATATTATCTATTAGAACATCGTATCTCATTACGTAAGTGTTCGTCAATACGTCCATTATTGTTTCAGCCYTTTTATTAGGAATTGGGTATACCTTGGCCAAGTGTGGTAGAAGCCTTCGACTGCCAAAATATATTGCTCTCCTAATATTTCTAAGATTTTCATGATTCTCATGTGTCCTCCACTTGAACTGAACTTCAGGAATTCTTACCTACGTAACAATCAAAAAACTTTGCCCATCTTCGCTAACCAATATTCGTTACACCAACTTTAAACTGTTCTCCTATGCTTAATATATCTTTGTGACTAGGCTTCCTGCAGCTATTCCTTCATCTCGACTCCGTGCATTATACGTTTCAATTAAAATATTCTTGTGGACATTGCATCCGCATTCTATAACCACTACCTTTGCGATGCTCTATAGCGAAGTAGTAACTTTGTAGACTACCACTTCACAGTGCCAACTTTACCTCTGTGGGTGGAGGCCATTTTAATGTTCCATGAACAAGCCTTACTTGAAATCGTTGATCTTAACTGTACTTTGCTTGTGCTTCAGCAACACCAGTAATTCGCTCCGAGCTATGTARAATATATATCTGGCTGTAATACGCAAAAACTTTCTTATATCCGTCAATGACTAGTGATGAAATTATCATTATCTAGCTCTTTTATATTGCCGCCAAGCAACGAAAAGAATTAACGAATGGCRCGCTGTTCCAAACTTGGTTATAACATCGTAAGCGGTGTCTACGCTAATAAAAAGGAAGAAGAGCTCTCTCATACTTGATTATTATAATTATTGGGGTTATTATCTATATCTATATATATATAAAAGAAACTATGTCTGTATGTTCCGGGTAGACTCCAAAACGGCTAGAAAAATTTCAATGAAACTTTCAGGAAATCTGTAGATTGACCTGACGAGTAATCCTGTAAAGTTCGGTGACGATCGGAGAACTTTTTCTGAATTGTCAAATACAGTTTATATTTACTATGATGATATTCTTTTGTTTTATAACCCAAATTTGTGTTGACACATGCGTTGTGGATATGTATGTCAATATGAAACATATCTGAGTACAAAGGAGTGTATTGAAGTATACTGAAGTATATTAAAGTAAATAATTAAGGATTTTTAGAAATTCCAGGTAAGTTGTAGCGCCGTGAATTTATCCATTTACTGATGCATTTTCAATTGATCGTTAGACCGGAAAATTGTACTTTTCTTCACCAATCATGTTTCTTCACAGAATTATTGTAATAAATAAAAAATGGCATCCAGAAAGGCCAGTATTGGTAAAAAAAATCCTTCAAATCAAAGAATGTCAAGGAGCTACCGAGACAATCCAAAAACGTACGCAAAGACTTGATGCCAACCGAATAGCTCAATTACGAAAATAAATAGATTTGAATCTTGCGGCGTTCAACTACAATAAGGATGATGATTACAGAAATCACAAGGACGTAGTGGTCGGTGCAATGAACAAAATTTGTACATCATATCATTAATTTTAAATCATAAATCGATGTTAATTTTTTCTAGTATTTAAAAAAGAGTTGCTGGYTTCATTTCAAACATCATTGGCTTGAGAGCATCTGGAAATACCAAATATTTTATGTTTACTGTCGAAGGAGATCATGTAGACTACTTGATGATGTTGAGACAATACTCTCAATTCTTCATTTTTAAATTGCATGAACATCATCGTCATTATAATTATTCCTAATTTATAATCATCATTGATAGTTTAAAAATACCTATTGTTTCATAAGTATTTAATAATGTCCTTAATTCACAGATTTAGCATGCCCAAGCCATGCGTCGTACTTTCAATTCTGGCATYAACTTGAGCCCGTTATGCTTTTGTATCAATGATAAGAACGACATTATATTTACTAACATGTATATGGGTTACCTACACCCATATAATCTTCACCCGCTCGAAAAGAGAATAGAAGAAAATGAATATGTAGATAATTGAATAATTTAATATAATTAAGAGACAAATTAAATATTTAATGTGGTAATTTTATTGCAAAAAAACAAAATCTATACCGGCGAAG